GCTACCCATCCTGACTGGATCAGTCTCAAATTTGCCCGATGCTGCAGCCGCATGTGACGCACATTGATTTGATTGGAGAGAAAAAAAAAAGAAAAGAGAACAAATCTAAGCTACCTCACACAGTCTTAGAGATAGGTTCTCTAGCCTTCTTGTACCTTAGGAGACTTTTTTTTATTTGTTTAGGCATGGAGCTGACCCTCTCGAAGACCATAGTATCCTTAAGTAGATATCTTCGAGCCACGACGACATATAAGAAGACGATGAGGAGCAAGGGAAGGAAAAATGGTATTTCTGTTGAGGATACCCTGCTTGCGATGATGGATTCAGCTATGGCTTAATGTTAATGATAGTATTAGCTGTCTCACAAGCGAGCTATATTATTGATGTTCATTCCCAACCAAGGTATGAAGTGGAGACTTGGGGGGATCCAAAGTCATGGCTCATGAGCGTATAGATATGATCGATCCCTTTGCGCCTTATTAGTGCTGTTCCATGGATAGGTGGTCCACTCTAACTGCGATACCTAGGGATGATCTGGTAACAAACTTCCTTGATGACATAGTGTGAGCAAGCAAGAAGGCATGGAGGCAGAGTACTCATAGTATCCAGGTTCAGCCCTCTCATCGATGTCGTCTGCTTCTTCTCATTGAATCATTGTATACGAGCATCTGGACTGTACCAAGCATAGCCACGCTTGGCAGCAGCCAGCAAGCCAAACGGCTACAGAAAACTCACCAACCCAGTCGCTGTCTATCATCAGCGTGTGATCCTTCTCTTATTTATACTAGAGAACAACGATTATTGTGCGCCCGCACAAAAAGATCTTACTGGCAAGGATATTATTTTGCGAACGACATCCCTTCGGTGATCTGTCCAGTATGACCGATCGCCCCAACTTCCAGGTATCACCTCCGAGCTATCATGCTTCCCAAGCAGCATGGCATCCTGAGCAAAGGGATATCGGACGAGCAGAGCCTGCTCCTCCTCCATACCACAACTGGCAGGAACTGGTGCCTGACACAGCAACGTTCCCTCCGCCGCCGGTGACAGGCTATTTCTGTTCAAATGCTGGCAATGCATCCCGTGATGATGCAGAGCGTGCTCATGAATTCTGCGATATGGTGCCTTTACATCTGCCGGCGAAGCCTTCGGCTGCGGTCTACGACAGTGTACAGAGATATGACCTCCGCCCTGTGCAGCCAACTGAGTTTCATGGTAGCCTTACGGTCACATACCCAGGTCGATGGAAGGGTTCTACAAAGAACGGGAACGGTGACTGCATAATCACGACAAGCCTGCCCCTTTATTTTCCAGTTCAGGATTCCCCTTATGTCACCGAAAGGAGCAAGACTATGTATTTCGAGGTCAAATTGCTTGGCCTTCGTGCCGGGCCTGGGACTGGGACCGCTGATTCGAGCGGGTTTTCAATTGGATTTGTCGCGCAGCCTTATCCCTCTTGGCGGTCTCCCGGTTGGGAAAGGGGTAGCCTTGCGGTATTTTCTGATGACGGTTGCCGCTTTGTGAATGATTCGTGGGGCGGGAAGCAATTCACAGACGCCTTTAATGTGAACGATACTGTTGGTCTGGGGATGGTCCTTCGTCTACCAGAACATCTAAATGGAGCTTCAGGAACCGGGTGTAAGAGACTCCAAGTGGATGTCTTCTTTACTAGAAATGGGCAGAGAGAAGGAGGCTGGGACCTTCATGAAGAAGTCGACCAGGAGGCCGGAGGCGTTGAGGGATTGGAAGGAGACTATGACTTATATGGTGCCATAGGGCTCTTTGGCGGAGTCGACTTCGATGTCTGTTTTGATCCCGCAGGCTGGTTATGGAAGCCTAGTGATAGGCCATGATATGTTCCCTTACCCTGGTAACTCGCTACCAGCGTATTTGCTGAGAATGATAGCTGATGACCTATGTATTACCCTTGGAGATGTGCTTCAACTATTTGATCGACATAATGAGATGTTCTTCCCGTCAATGTATGCCAAGTGACTGCAAAGCCCAAGAAGCTTGCCAGACAAGACAGCCTCGGCTACGTATTCTATGTCTTCTGCATTGATCGCCCAAGGGGCGCAGACAGAAGCATGGACGAGTCTCTTCAGCAAAGACTCCTCAGCTGCTCTTTGAAGTACTGAGTAACCTAATGTCAAGCGACGTAATGATGTAGAAGGGTTAGAGTTTCAGAATCGAAACCGTAAGGGCTCAATGCGGAGTATTTGCCGAGGACAAGAACTTCTAGAAGACTTCATGCAACATCAGCCAGGATGCACCCTGTTGCATAGACAGACGCATTAGTGCTTCGGGGGGAAGCATGAGCTGCATTTCCGCTACTGCCTGATAGACCGATGCTGGTTGGGCCTGAGCAACAATAGACAAACCGGCTGATACCTTACCTGCCGGCAGAGGCAGCAAAATGCTGATGTCATGGTCTATTTTTGTGGATGAGCTGCTCATAGCGGGGGACTCATCTGATTGACTTAGTGAACTTCACACATGATACAGATACAGTCTGAGCCTGGAACATCACAGAACCTTCCATACCTGACATCAAGTCTTGATAACAGTTTTTGGAAAGCATGTCATAAACATCATCCGACGTCTTGCTCCTAGGTATGATTGGTGATTATTTGCCGGTTTGACCTAGTGAGCGTTGAATTGACATACTGCTAAAGCCTCATGCATTTAACCTTCCTATGTTTTCTTTCCTGGCTTTCGAACTCCCTGGGCCCTCTTCAATAAAGAAGGGAGGAAAACTGAAGAGGGCCCAGTCCAACACTATTGGATTAAGTTGATGCTGCTGGCCAACCATTAGAGCATTTGAAACTAGTATCTTGAGGGGACAAGTCTACAGGGTACAACAAGGAGGATCGCCAGCGTAGAGTTGGGCGTATCCTTTTCCTGTAAGACTCTGATGTAGCTACTTACTAATTTATGCTTCAAAGAACGAGCAACCTCCAGGAGTACGGAGTAGTAGTAGCCAGGTTCACATGAAATGCCTGTGGGGCTGTCGCTCCAGAGTCTGGAGCTCGGATGTTTTCCGCTCCCCTCGGCTCGAAGTTCAGCGTAAAGATATGTCTCTGATACTTTCCAAAGGCAGTCACGTACTTCGAGCTAGGACAAAGACCGCGGAAAGTGGAAATTGCCAGTGGGACTATCAAGTCAGCAAGCTAAGTTAATGGTGGAGTCAGGCCAGTCAGCTAGTTTAGTCGGTCCGGAGTAGACTATGGAGTACTCCGTACACAGGACCATAAGCAACTAGTAGATAGTACTAGTAAACATCTCGTTGTGTGCGTAATATAGGAAACCAAGTAAATTCAAATTATCTATACGGTGGAAATATTAGCACTTCTAAGATGGACAAATTAGCCAGCTATATGAAGCGAGGCAAAGTGAATAAAATCTGTTTAGTATGAGTGTACTGTGTACTCCATAGATACACCATAGTCCATAACCATAATCACTCCACATTATAGTGGACTGGCCGCTCATATATTCAGTCAATCCCCTGATCAAAAACAGGAGGGTCAGTGATATTCTTGGAGATATACCAGGATGTTGTTCTCATGATTGACATTCTGCTCTTGATATCCATTTATTGATTTGAGAGAGCAACCCATTCTCCATGATCTGACCGAAGAATCTTTTGTGTATGGATTGTAAAGCGAGGACCTGTGAATTCCCTCTTGTGGTTAGTTTTGCCGTTTTGGGTATGGTCTCCCGATACGCCGTCTTGTAAACACCGCCCGCATCGGGACCTCCAGTATATAAGAACCGTCCCCTCGCTGTTCTAACCATCTCTCCCACAACTTCTTCTTTCCCCCCGAATCCCCCCAAATATTTTACACCCTTCCGCTCGCTGCCGTCGTTTCATCTGCCCCTATGGCTACTACCCAACCCCCCTTTTTTTTCCCATCGGAAATCGCGGCTGCGCCTCCCCCCTCTCTTCTTTGTCTCCACTTCTCAGCCGTCAGCCATGACCTGTTGTTGAGCTAGCTAAGCTGATAATGTCTCCCCTTTGTTTACTTTGGTGAAACTATCCAGGTCGCAGGGGGAAAAAAAGTAAGGTGCGTTGCCTGGTTATCCTCGACTTGTGGCAAAACCCGTTAACTTGTGAGCTGTAGTTCCACGGACGGTCCTCTACATCGTTCACTTGCTCGACTCTCCCTTCCAAAGGAGCGAGACGCAGATACTGCAACTTTCAACAACTCCGAGGTTGACTACGCCTTACCGTCGCCCCCACTTTCCTAGTCTTTCCCGCGGTCACCGGTTCCAGCGTCGCATTTGCGCTAATCGTGTGCACACTGCCACGTATGCGCTTGAGTTGCACAGATGACGATGAGATTACGCCCTCGGTGAAACAAATCCAATGGCGTAAATGCCTCACCAGCAATGCTGTCAATCTCGTCCTCGGTGAAACAAGTCCAATGATGTAAATGCCTCACCAGCAAACTGTTGACAATCTTTCGCGACCGATCGGCGTTTCGTCGAGCTTCCGGCCTTCTGCGCCCTGCGACAGGAGCTTGCGGAAAGAAACATCGCTAAGAACACCATTCGCAGTTAAATCGAACAGTCGCTGAGGTTTCATGACGAGTGCGCTGAATCTGCAATTATTTCAGCAATTGCTAATTGTGGGTAATGTTGGGTAAATCCGTTCGGGTTGACCGAAACCGTGGCTGGGATGACTGTTCGCAATTGAATATCGAACAGGGAGGCATGCAACAACAATGTCAATGCGCTACATGGCGTGGTTGGACCGCAGGATCTGCAATTCCACGGTTAAGGCGGTTTGTACTGCAGGAAAACGGCAAATCCATGCTACTATGTTCTGTTGTCGAAGGGCGAAAAGTTATCCAAGCACATTGACGTCTGCCTAGCTGGCTGGTTATAAATACCCTGAGCTATCTCATTGTTGAGCAGCCATGCACATAGCAAAGATTATTTCTTGAATCCCATCTTTCTGCGTTCAATTCACTTCCCAAACTTTCGCCTCATTCAGTATGAATCGTCAGATTTCTTACAACGGACCCCTAGTGACATCTTCGTTTCCTGCCCGAGAGTCACATATTTGCACTGTCCCCTTTCCTCGGACTTTCCCACCTTGCAATTCCATATCTTCACTTCCATCTGGCCCCTTGAATCATCCCCTGCCCCCAAAACCTCCCACTGCCAAGTACTTTTTCCATGCATACACTCCACCTGACCGTGATCTTGTAACCACGCCCGACAGCACCGCATCTCAACGCAACGATCGCGGCGAATGCGTTCCCGTCAACAACGAGCCCGAGTTTCCTTCAAACTATCAAATTGGGGTGCTGGGCAGTCCCATGGCAGAGAACATTATCTCACTGCCAAGCGAAGGTACGTACGAATCTGCCACGTCTTATCGTCAAGGGGCCTTGCTCAACAGTAGTGACCCTTTTAGGTACGATCCAAGAACTTGGAAGTGACGGCGAAATGACGAGCAGCTTCAGCGGTGATATTGCCGATCCGCCCCGCCCAGATGCCTTCTTGCTTGCGCAGAATCACGATCCATGCGGGCGTAAGTTGTCAGTGTCGCCGCAGTGCGCCGACGTTGGGATATGTCATGCCGACGCCAACCCAGCGTCTGAAGCTCCTGAGGCACCCCCTCGCACCTGCGAATGTTCTGGCGGTGATAGCATAAGCGACAATGATGGTAACGGTCTCCTGAGGCGTTGTATGCTTTATGAAGGCGAGGAAGGCTTGCTGGATATACCCCGATCGAAGGCCCAGCCCTCATTTGGGCAGGTGGCCGAAACATCCCCTCGACAGCCCAGCAGTCAAGTGGCTGAGCATGCTACCTTGAGTAGCATGTGCATCGAGGTCGAGAGCGCCCGATCAAAACCCACCAACCGAAAGAGGCCAGCAGTCGCTGCTTTGGAGACGGATGGGAAAGCAAGTGGTCCTCGAACAAGGGCGAGGGCAAGAGCTGAAGCATCTGAAGCATCCAGTTCATTGCCCACTCCCCGTAGTGCTCGACCTTATTCAGCGGCTGAAGATGGGGCCCTACAGAAATTGGTGGCTAGCGGGCTCGCTTGGGACGAAATCGAGAAGGAATTCTGTCTGCGCTTTGCTAAGAGGACTTTGCGGTCACTGCAGATGCGTTGGTCGAGAACGCAGAAGCTTACAGCTCCGTGGACTAGATGCTCGAAGCGCAAGAAGTCTTCCCGGCCGTAAAACTCGCAGTTTGAATTTTCTATACCAGAACGATCTCTCGGCTAGGATACAGCTCATACATCGTGGCAGGTTCAATGAAGCCTGAGGTCCTCGCTCGAACCAAGATGCTGCATCTCACAAATTCCTGTGTCTTGAACACCAAACTCCTGTCTCTATGACCAGCTGCCCCTTCGTTCCCCGACTGCTTGTATTTCAGGCAAAATGTTTTCACTACCACAACTTCTCGCTCCTGGGCCTATCAGGGGTCGTCCATTCGTAAGCCATGGACGTTTTTGGCCATCTCCGGGTAACATCTCGTAGCACATATGCGAATCCGATCATATCTAGACCTCAGGACATCTTGGCAATGGAGCCTCTCTGTCGGCGAAGAGTCAGAGTCTTCGACTTCTGAATCAAACAATCATCGTCAGCACGACGGGGCTGGAAGCTGTGGCCAGCGCGCCCCAGACCATCGGAGACAGCTTGTCCGAAACCACCAGCCGCTTTACAGCGTCGGACAGACTTCCTAGCATCTACATACCAAAGTATCCTCGGTCGCTTACCTTCAATCTTCCTCAGAACTAGTTCTAGCTACTATAACCATTTGAATTTTATCCAAACCCAGGATCTCCTTTGGTATAAGCCTACCTAAGGCTATCCAAGAAGGCTAATCAACATAGCACAGGGAGAGCCAAAAGAATAATTTCCTACCAAGCATCCCTATTCCATAGGCCAAATCCTTGGGCAGTAACGGTGTAGGCACCCAAAATCACTACATGCACACGTGGCTGGGTTATTCTGCGATCTCGTGACAAATTGATATGATTTTACCGTACTATTTGAGGACTGAGACCGCATACTGGGATCCATATATAAACATTGGATTTGCCATTCTTCGTAGTATGAAGAAAATGGTTAAGGTTGTTCTGCTTACCAACAGCTTGTCTCATGCATTAGCCACATGTGGCTTGGTATTTGCCCCTCAGCCAGTTGATAACACGACCCCACTAATTCTCCGAAGACACCCTTCATTTTTCACATCAACTCATCCGCGGGTCAAAGATGCAAGATGACAATGGATATCTCGTCATCTCTGGAGATGAGCCATCTGACGATTTACTTAATGCTGTTGAAGCCGAGATTTCGTCATATCCTAGGAAATGTGGAGAGAAAGGACAGCAACTTATGCGTTTTGGCGTAAAGGTTCGTCAGTGTGTCTGAATGCCAGTACTTTACTGACAGCCACAGCTTCCGGAGGAGGCATGGTTTCAGGAATATCTCGGATGTTCGTATCACGATGCCAGGAAACACGGAGGAACCAGGATTATGTCTTTCAACAACAATCGAGTTGGGCGCTTCGTCCCCGGTCCACCTGGGACTGTGCTGATATACAGGGCAGCCACTCGACATGGCCTTAGCCCTAGTGGAGGATTTTTCAAAATCGTACCAGGATCGCATCGAATGACCGCCGCGGAGATAAAACGAGCCAGATCCATATCAATCACCCTTACACCCAGAGATGTCTTGTTTATGGCAGCCAATACGACTGTCGAATACGTTGCGTCTGGAGAAAACGTGGCTCTTTGCGAGGCTGTGTCAGCCTCACTTAAGTCTGAACATGATGACGGCAGATTTGATTCTTGAAATAGCGTCGTATATCGAGATACACATTTTGATTATGGATATGTATCGAAGACAATGTCAACAACTATAGAAAAAGTTCGTATCTAAGTTGGAGAAGGGACTTGACCACGTATCATGCCACCCAGTATCAGAATTCGGAAAACCCCACCACATGTCAGAGTTAGGGAATGGCTGCCCATTCGTAACATCTTGCTCAAGTATATCCCGCGACTGAAGCAATGAAGTGGCGGCTCTAGTGTCCAGTAGTTTCTGCCCAGCTCCTTGGGAAAGCAGCTCTTGACGAAGGCTTGGCACAAAATCTGAAGTCATAGACGCTGTATGCAGAGATGCATGCGTCGTTTCATTGAGTGTTCCGTTTCGAGTTAACCTTTGATTCGACCAGCCCATATTATTCCGGTCGGCTTGATTTTCGTCACGATTGGATGTTGAACCGGTCCTTGTTTCCGAGCCTGGCATCGGGCGGCATGGATTCCTAGAGTCTGAGCCTAGTCGCACACGTTTTCGCGGAGGTTCATCAACTTCAGGCGACACAGAAGAGGATATGTCCGCTGACATTATTAGATGAGTTGTAGAGGTCAAGTGAGCCGGGTATCTTACCATCATAAGCAATTTGAAACTCGCTGAACCATTTTGATAAGGACACCAAGACATCTGGGATCTGGAAGGACTCGAGACTATTCGGCCCTGTGGATAATTGTATACGAGGGATTTCAGCTTCGGGCTCGGGAGGGAGTATAAGGTCAATAAACTGAGGGAAGTCTTCGAAACGTAGGTGAATGAAAGCATTTGCATTCAAGGCAGTAAATGCAGATATCGCGCTTGGTAGATTGGATCTTCCAGATTCCTGCAGTCGCCTCCCAAAGAGCTCCTCAAGCACCAGTTGCTTCACACCGACGTTTATACCCCGCAGAATGGTCTCTTTCTCTCGTCAGATTCAAGTTCGATGCTTGTGAGGTATCTTCTGGCAAGTCCTGGTCTTTTCTTGATGAGACGGGAATCGGAATATCGAACGCCTTCACAAAGTTCGCTGACTCGTGTAGGTTCTCCGGCAGCAAATTGGTAGTTTGTATATTCGAGGCCCATTGACCGCTGCGCAATCCCCCTAAAAAATTGATCACTCTTCCCAGGGAGTTTACTACCTTCCACACGTCGGATATCCTCAATCCTACGGTCCCTTTTCTCCATTCTTCGTGCTTTTATAACATCTTCTGGGCGATCTCTTGAGAACGTATAAAGCCACTGAAGGGTATCCGCGAATGATTCGAACAATTTGTTCGGCCAGGATGCGGGGGATTTAGGTTTGGGTATTGGATCTTGAGGAGGTTCAGAATCCCTGGTGCTAGGGTCCGTAGGCCCTGTTTCCTTCTCCAAACCATCTGAGAAGAGCCGACCGGACAGTGGCGTATTATGACTTGTCGTAACGCTGTTCTCGCTGTCGGATGCTTCTTCGTCACTAGACCGGGCTGAGCCATCCGAAGTAACGGAATATCTCGATCCAATGGATATACATTCGCCACTACGGTCACCGATGGAGGGATTGTCTGACTTGAGTGAGAATATTAGATTTTGTTGATAGAACTGGGCTTCTTTCTCACTTTCAATCGCTTGCTCACGTCAGCCAGCATTAACAACACCTCGTCATGATGGCTCTGAAGATCCTCAGTTCTTGCCTTCTGTAGAAGTCTTAAAGCAGTTAAAATATCCATATCCTCTTGGCTGGAAATGAAAATTTGGGAAAGGGGCTGACATTCGTAATGTGGATGATGCCACTATCGATGTAAGCCCAGCAGGTTGACCGATTTAACCCCCCCTCAAACTTAGGAGACATGGCGTGAACTACTCTCAATCCCCTTTCGGGTATAGCGTCAATATCAAAGACCAAGTGGTTCGGCCCAGAAGGGACGGTGCGATGTGGAGAAACCCACCTGAGGTTCTATTCTTTGATTCGCTGAGTAAGTCTCCAAGCAGGTAACTTAACATAACTATGGCCATGTATGTGACTGGTAAACAACCGAGCGCTTCAAAAATCGAGAGCCAGTATCGTCACTCAAGGAACAGACCGGACGTTGTGGAAGACATGAATAACTGGGCGATAGAGCAATAAAGTTGACAACATCGTCCAGAATAAAGCTCAATATTTCATCCTGTTGTTTAGTTACTTACACTCCCCTTCTTTAAAAACTTTGTTTATCTGGAGAGATTTCTAACAGAAATAATCATATAAGGTCTCAGTCCCTATCTCATTGGATATTGTCGAGGAGGTTGACATGTTTATACAGCCCCGCCCTCACTTTCAGCAGGTTAAGAAAGGGTGTCCCATTAATTCACCAGCTGTTTGTCTGTCTTCTGGAAGCCAGGCAAGCATCTGTTTGACAAAAGACAAGAAGACTGGCCTCTCCTCCTCTTCTAAAAGTTGGATTGAATTTTCGAGTTTTCGGCCGGGTATTAGATCATCATAAAAGAATTCACCTGCAAGAACGAATGAGTTAGCAAAGAATAATGGTATCTATTAGATGTTTCTGCACCACCCACCTCTTTCATTGAAAAAGGGTCCCTCAAAATACTCTCGCCCGTTTCTGGAGAGCTTGCCTCCCTCGTTTCTGATAGAATTGGGCCATTTAAACTCTGTCATGGCATCAGATTTTGCGAGTAACTCTTTTGGAGGTGGACCGAGCAATGCGATCATTTCCGCTATGTGCGCTTTGGCATCGTAATGCCCTTGAGCGTCATTCGCCTGACGAAACAGCTCTGTGCGCTCAATAATGTTCCAGGCCTGTTGCCGACAGGGGAGTCAGTTACGACTCATGATATATCCCCACCTGGGAATCATGTAGAATCTGGACCAATAGACCCGTTTGCATTGTTGAAGGATGATAAAAAAAAGTAGAGAAAAGTATAACTTTGAAATAGGGATTTCATACCAGAACCCCAAAATTCCATATATCTGCACTAAAGCTCCATCCGCAGCCAAGTATGACCTCCGGAGCACGATACTGGTCCGGTTGTATTGGGTGAAGACCAACTTCACTCTTCCCCGCTTGTCCTTGGCTGTCGTTCTTGAGTGAAGTCGCTAACCCCAAATCGACGATTTTAGGCACCATTTTTCTCAGTTCTCTCCAGTCTAGGGGCCCAAAATCATTGTGACAGCGATAGATTGTTTGCCCAGTCATTGGGTTTGTTTTGCGTTGCATGGGCAGGTTATTGATCTGTACTTTGAGAAAGTTGGGGAGGACGTCTTCATTTTCGAAGGTCATCAAAATATTGTCAAGCTTTAGATCTAGCAGGAACCAGAAAGATTAGCAACTTATTTCTCGAAGAAAGTCTTTTGGTGTTCAATGTAGTAGACGAAAATTAGTTACTTGCCGGTATGGACAACCCTGCATTCCGAATGGAGATAGTCAAGACCAGCAAGGAGAATAAGGAGATATGCCTTTGCAATGGGGAGAGGGAGTCTTTGATCAACAAAGCGTTTCTGGAGAATCCACAGAGGTTCCCGCATAGGTTCGTATGCAAGGCATAGATGACTCCCTTCGGAACTTGTCACCTCGAAGCTGTCAAGGTGGGTCCGAATGATCGCACGGCCGCGGTGAGACGGATTTTGCCTTGAAATGTGCTCCTCAATGTCACGTTCACGGTAGGCCTCATCAAGGCTGCGGTTGTTTATTATTTTCAGTGTTACGAAACGTTCAGACTGCCATCTGTATCTAAATGAAAAACCCTTAGTACATTAGACTGTTATTGCATCGGCATGACAGGAGCAAAGTTGGGTGTATACCTTGTGATATCTTTCGCCAGCCACGTAGTCGAACGTGTGCCCCAACCGATCTTCACTAGTAACTGATAGTGATTGGCAAGTATCTCCCCTGGTTTAGCTGGATAAAAGTATTTGGGGTTGTAAGCCGGGGAGGCTTCTTCATCAACAAGTTCGTGCTGAGGAATTGGAGGGGCACATTGAGCCGGGGGGAATTGGAGTGGTTTAGTGTGGAGGGAAAGCGTGCGCTGCATCATACGGCTTATGGACCGTACTGCAGTCATAGAGCCGAGTAACGTGCGCGCTGTGGAATACACAGCGTAGGGAAGTGGACTATTTAACGGAGCTGTTGCAAGCGATGGCTCGTTCTGGTGTGTGATGAAATGGTCCGCTGCTCAACTGCGAGCTCAAAGAGGAAGTTCAATAGGAAATAGTCAAGGCATCCAAAAGCTGGCAATTTGGATATCGAATTACGCGGAGGGAAAAAGTGTTGAGCAAGAGAAAGACTATATAATAAATTGACGCCGGGCATTTCTAGCCTTCGTGGTAATTCTAACTTTTGGAGGCTGGTGGGGGAAGCAAAATGGAGCTTCCATGTCCGCAAAGCCGATGGTAGTTACAGAAGGCCACAAAGGATGACTAAGCAAGAGCAAACGAATTTAACTAACCTAACCGGATAAGAACTAGTCAGTTATTTCCAACTAGTTCCAACGTATCCAGAGCCTCACCTTCTATCAATTACGGAATATTTTTTTCTTATACGTTGAAAGCATGGTTGTTTTTATATTTGATGAGCACCGGTTCATAGTTAAATTTTTATAAAGACAAAGTTATTTCACGTGTCCACACGTCCACTGTTGTTCCTCCCCTGCGCGGCTAAATGTGCTTATACTTGAAACTGGAGTCGCCGTTGTTTATTTGGAAGCGCTGCCTTCTTTGGGAGCAGCAGGATCAACATCAACTTTGACTCGCCCGTACACTTCCTTAGAGAAAGTGACGCTCCCGTCGGGGTAAACATGTGCAGATGTAACACGGTCCTTCCCCTGGACGTCGTTAATACCAAGGGTGATGGAAGCGTGATAAGGATCCCCAGTTTTATCTGTTGGGTGAGGATTTCCTCTGTTCCTGTCAGATGGGCTATGCATGCCTTGGGAAGAGTAGAATACACACGTACTGTACGACCCCACTATCAACTTTACCGGCCAATCCGGGAGCCTTGTCTACTGCTTTTTCCGCAGTGCGCTGGGCCCAGGCGACATCCACCGTTGTCCCGTTAAGCCTCCATTTGAGCTTCTTCAGCTGTTGGGCGGTGGTGGAAAATGCTCTTGACATTATGAACGACTGACAGGTAATAAGAGGAAGAATTAGACGACGGAAGGGAAGATAATATGTTATCAAAATCAGTCGGAGATCAAAGTTAGGATAGCCGTGAATTGTCGACTTCCAACTGTCTGCAGAGGATGGGGACTCAGTATTTATAGCCGTCCTGTTTACACAATACTCCTGCGGATATTATTACAAAAGAACACAGTAGTCTAAGATATTAAGCAGACTGATCATGTCGCAGGAGGTTATGTTTCTTGGTCGTCGATAGGCTGTTGCTAGTCGGTGGAAAGGCAAGCCACTAACTGCTTTTCATATGGATCTGTATTAACCGTGACTTTTAGGTAGCACTAGGCTGGAGAAAGGGCTTCGAGGCGGTTCGCCCACACCCCCGTCCGTCTCCGGGCCAATCTAAAGTTATAATCAGCCGCTGATATTAAATATGGTTGTTCAAGTAGTACTACTGCACTTGGAGCAATTAGGCCGAATACCCAGGCACAACCTGATAGCAAGCCACCTTGTGATTCTGATGCAACGCTAGCTTTGTTCGGCGGCGGCTTGAAGCAAGAGAGAACTGAAATAGATGTCGAAAGCGCTTAAAGATACGCCATTTTCCATTTCGGGAAATGATATAATTAAAATGATAATGAGCATTGACTGCATTGTTGCTATTCTAGTAATATTTGGCGGTCCTCTGCGTTTGCATCAACGCCTACGGTCTGTTTGTTCACATAGTCAAGGCCCAGCCATGGCGTTCTGCCCTCCACGGCCGCCTATGCAGTAAGCGAAGTTCGCTTGGAGGTGCTATGGGTAGTCTGGTACTCTATTGGCTAGGACTTCATTCTGGCATACCAAGGGCTAATCCCGCGCAATCCACTGATACGCTACGAGACTTGTTGGGCTGGGCTAGAGGTCTGTGCTCGTTGTGCACAACGAGCACGGACAGTCTACCAACCAATGACATAAGGATCTCATGGTGGGACGAATGCAGTTGCGCTTGAATTTGCTTGAACCATATTCGGAGTCGTGTAGATCATTACGGATATACGATCTGGCTTTCCAACGAGCTAGGTTTACCAGTAAGATGAGCCACAGTCAAGAGCTGCTTCGCAGCACCTTAGGCTTTTTGCGCTACATACCAATTTATCCCTCATCAGTTGTAGGAAACATTCGTGTATCTCCGGGTAAAAGTCCCAACCCATAATAGAAGGGAAAATGCGAGATGGTTTTTCTGTGATCGTTCTCGCATAGTCCCTGCATAACCGTACAACTGGTACCCAGAAGCCCGCCAATCGAGGAAAGATTAGCATTGTTGCTGGTATTGACTATTATTGTTTTGTTTATTGAGACGATGACAATACGATCGAGCTCTCGATCTATAGCCCCAGCCGTGCCTTCTCTGCTCAGTGGAAATGGCCTGGTAGTCATGGAGCACTGAAGCCAGGAGACTTAGATCAATCCCAGCTCTGTAAATTTCACTTGACAGCAACTATCTCTCGATACATTGGCAGCAGATACATCCGCCAACGGTCATCACGGTATGTTGCATAGTAATAGCAGCTGCTTCTTTTTCTATGAGGTGAAGTTGGGTACATGAGTCAGTCTTCGCAACTCATGACAGAGGCGATCTCATTCAATCAGGTAAGAGATCCGTTATATTGCCCAATCCATGGTAGCTAGCGAGCCCATACTTCTCCATGATGAATGGCTTAAATGTCACCTTGAATTGACATATAAGGAGGCCATGTGCACCCTTAGACCTCGACGCTTCTCTACCACGAGACTCATCAAGACATGTTGTCATGATCTTCTCCAGCTGGTTAAGATCCGTCATTTTCCTGAAGCGACCAGCAGAGCTGTTTTCAAACGTGCTACAGTGCTTTCCTACGTCACGGACTTCACACCGCGAGTCAGATTGCTTTGGGGCGGACTTGATTGATTATATCGAAGATCCCTTAGGTATGTCGGGTTTCTCTGCGCAAGCTAGGCGAGAGGATACCATTATGGATGACTTGGAAGTAAGTCTATGACTGATTGTTTTCTGGCAATTGCTAATCATACAGGTTGTCCGTGTTTGGTTCGATGATGATCCCGATTTATCTCCAAAGTCTGCCGTCTGGCACCGCGCCTTAGATGACGTCGTCAAACTCATAGTGCCTCTCCCATGCAAGAGTGGTGACAAAGTGCTAGCAGAACTTGCTGTGGACAAGAATGGTGTCGAAAGGGTTCGCAGTCGATACGAAGTTGTGGGGTCTCTACCGCTAGGCAACAGAGACCCAATGGTCCTCGCTCAGAAGCCAAGAGACTTAACTCTCAAAAGAGTCGAGGCCTGCAAGCAGCTACTTGACGCCTACCGTGATCGTCTAGCGGAAAACGACTTCGATTACCAAGGCCGAACCTGGCTTGAACGACGACTCCAATCAATAGTCAGGAAACTAGATGACCTTCAAAACAGCGTCCAGGTAGGTCACTTCTTCTGCCCGTGCGCAGAGTACTAATATTAATAGACTGTGCGAATATGGCACCCCATTTGCCAAGGACCCCTGACGCAAGATGCCAAAGGCGAGGACATAGGAGATATGATCCTAGCAGAGGTTCAGCTGGAAGATCCTAGCAACGGGTATGCTCCAATGTATCCAAGTCATCGCCCAGCTGGTGCTGTGTTAGTCGACTTGGCCGTTCTGCCGGAACACACTGCGACTGTTCGCTCCAAATATTTGCCAGTGAACCTTGCTCCCTTCGGCGACGATGATCCTTTGGTCTGCTCACAGCCAGGTGCCGATATTGATCTGAAGAGAGCTCTAGCTCTCAGAAGAGTCCTTTCCAGATATGATCAAGCACAGAGAATCCGACAGTCTCGGGTCCAACTGCTGGGGACTGAGAATGAGCTTATCAGCAACTGGTTCAGTAACTGCATGAGGGAGCTTGAGGACCAGGTTAAAGCAATCCATGGTTGTGAGGTAAAGTTGTGTTGACCTCAATTCAACAAATACTAATGATACAGACCATACGTGTATGGTGTCGCAGTCACAAAGAAGATCCCATGGCCAGTGTTCGATCCAAACGCCTTGACGATGTGGTCAGAGCAGCAGTCCCTCTCCAAAACCCCGACTACCGACGGGTTGCCGGTGACAAGACAGTCCATCCACACGGCGCTATCCTTGTAGACCTAGCTGTTCATAAGGAGGGTGTCCACATGGTTCTCTGCAAGTACGGAGTTATCGACTTTGTTCCCATGAGCAATGAGGACCCCGTGATTCTATCACAACCCGGTGATACAATTGAAGACAAGCAGATTGCTGCTTATGAGGATATGTTGGAGAGGTATTCTCATTATCTCCGTGAAAAATGCCGTCTCCTTAGCCCTATGGCCAAAGTCTGGGTTGTTGAGAGGCTAGCTGGAATTGAGAGTCAACTGTCGGTCCTTCGTCCGAAATGTCTAGAGGTGGGAAGTCTCCATTGTTCCTCATTACGTATGCTAATTCTTCAGACCATACGAATTTACTGTCCGAAATACGAAACCCACCCTTGGGAGATTATACGAAAGCTAGATCTTGGAGATATTGTCAGAGAAGCAGTCCCTCTGGAAGACCAAATAAGCCCTCAAGAATTGGTCCAAGTCGACCTTGCCATTGAGCCCAGCGGTATCTCAAGGGTTCGCGACGTCTGTCAGTTAGTCGAATTCCAGAGATTGAGTGAAGACGACCCAATAATCCAGATGCAACCGGGTGGCGGCCCTCACATGAAACAATTCAACGGATACAATTACGTTCTTCGGCGATATACCGAGGCTCGTGCATTGCGGCAGGTGGACGGGGCTTTAATGCTTTGGTATGAGAAAGAAATTGGGAATCTTGAGAGCCACATCGGTCGACTTGGGTATGTCTAGTTTCTAGGGTGTCAGGCAGTGTGTGTAGCTTAGTATGCCATGAGAATTGCGCTGATTTGAGCTTCGTTGGAGATGTGTCACCCTTGCCTTCCGTGAGCCGCACCTAAGTTCGGTTAGTTCGGGTTTGTATGTCCCTGTCAGAACAGCGGCCTTCAGTAGGTCTGCGTGGATCATAGCCAGTAGAAGACCATCTGGTCATACGTACCAGGTCACGCAAGCAATGCATGAAAAGGGCAAGGCTGAAATGGGTATCAGTGCTCTCTGCAATGAGTTGTCCTCCTCCATCTTGCCTCCTGTTGTAAATCCTTCACTCAGTATACCTTTCCGTTCGAGATTCGCCTCTTAAGGGCAGCGTCGAGTTTAAATGTTGTAGTTAACGAGAAACATTTACTGCTTCAATGCTGAGCTCCTGTCCAAGCGCAGAACAGACATCTCAATCGCTCCTGACGTTAGAGCCATTTCCAGTGGTTACTGTCCCTAGACGAAGGTCTATGCCATTTCTGTATAGACTATAGGAAGGTAGCACGAAATCTGCTGCAGCTTTGCTCACCCAGATGATGAGTGCAACCTGCAGTGTGTTTTAACTGTTGCAAGCCCTTAGAATATTAATCTAAAAGCCCTTTAATGTCTTTAAAACTAGCTATAGTAACTTAAGGGTTGCTTGTCTCTGTCGTTGCAGGACGATTCATCGCGTTCATCTCATCGTTGGCTACCATTCGAGGGCGAGGGCGAAGTATGCTTTTCAGTATCCCAGGATATTGAAACATTAAAGGTGTGGCCACCATAAAAGGTCTACGGCTGCTGCGGCCGAATCAACTCCTACAGTATTGCAAGGGACACCGCCATACCTTGATAACAGACCTTAGTATCGGGCCGTCTGCTGCCACGAAACCGCTTTTCGTATTTAGAGCTGCCTTCTTAAGGTCGTCACAACACTATCACCCTTTGGGGGGGCTTAAATAGTGAGCGAAAATCGACACTTTAACTTCATTGTGCAAACTATGAAAACTCCTTTGGGCATACCATTTACACAAGACCAACACCACTTAACGTCCGCATCTCTGGCACTGGCTCTGCCAGTCCTTCCACCTTCTCTTTCTCGTTTTTCTTGTTCTTATCTTTGTTTTTCTTTTTCTTACCTTTCGTCTTTTCCCATTTGATCTCTTTGTTGGGAGCACTGAATCCGACCAACTCCTCAGCTTTGTTGTTCGAATACCACAAGCTTGTATCTTTCTCCATATTCCGATTACCGTATTGCGCGAAAACGCGCCCCAGTTGGCTACTTGAAGTCCAGTTCTCGCCCCATTCAAAGCTGAGCGTTGAGCCTGAAGGCTCTGCAGGAACCTCAAGGTTGACAGCCTCTTCCGCAGCTCCCTCTTCCCCCGCAGCATTCTCCACAGCACCCTCGTCCACAGCACCCTCTTCCAAGGCTTTGCATGCACTATTCCAGACCAGCCTGGCCTCATGTGGTGAGACACGTCAGTAGCAATGTCCATATTTCTATGTACGCTGGTGCTTTCCGTGCGTTTTCTCCTGATTCTCTCGAATAAGAATTTGGGTTTCGGGAGATCGATTGGTAGCCGTCGCGCCGCATTTCTGCCTTATCACATCCGCCTTGAAGCAATGGTCAGATCGACGATTGCAGGCAAGTGATTCGCCGCTGATCTCTCGGACCTCCAGAAACTCGCGTTCGAGAAGGTGACAACGCGTTTCGCGGACTTGGAGGAACTGGATAGCCTTGGCACACAGCTCGTTATGATTGCTCCTCACGCTTATCATTTCGCAAACCTTCTACGCAAGATCCTCTTTTGGACCGGTTGGCTCAATACGCCGTTACGCTGTGGCTGCTGCTGAAGCAGCAACTTGCAACATCGGTAGAAGATCCATCTTTGGTCCTTGCTTTACTCACAAGAACGAGGGTTCCAGGCCAATAAATACTCACGGGAAGCTTCTCATTGTTTTATTTGGGCTTTTTACTTATGGAATACGATTCGAATAATAGCTCAACACCGAATAATTCTAGGGTGTAACAGGTCAAAACTAACAGAGTAGGTTTTCTCGGACTTTATTTTGGTCTGGTGTTAGACTTGTAAATGTCACCAAACTTCATAGACTTTTGCAATTATGAGTACCAGTTCCAATTGAGTTGCTGCCCAAACTTGACGTGGGGCAGAGACCAAGTCACATGTCAAGGTCCGCTGCCCCGCCATCATAGATTCTTTAACCACAGCCCTCGGCTTCAAGGTCAACCATGTCGCTTCCAGGAAAAGGGTGAAGTCGATTTGTGTTCCTGCAACGGCACGGCTATCATATAGAAACTCGGTAAGCCTAAGCTTCGAGGGTATCAGGTTGCCAAGTCCTGTTCTGTGAATGGATATTTTTGGATGTCTACAGTGCGGCTTACTCGTCGCTTCAATAGGTTACGTACGTCATTCTCGAACATCCCGAACGGATTGAACCGGAGGCTACGTTACGTTCCCCTTTTAAAATGACAGAGGATGTCCGTCAATATATGTCTTGACTTATTTGCTGAAGTTTAACTGACCTTTCAGACCTCCAGCACGGCCTCAGCAGTCGAGGGAACAGAATATACCATCAGGGGCGTTAGACTATTCCCAGAAGTAGGATATAACAGGAAGGTGACAGGGAAGGGTGAATCCATCTTGGTATACGATCCAAAGAAGAAAATGGACACTCCGCCACATTGGGAAAACGGAGATGACCCCTCCAAGGAGGAAACGGGACTGGTCCCCGCAGGACACAGAGTCCGTGTGATAGGAGCGACTGTGACGTTCACACGCGAATAGCCTCAAGATCTTGGATCAGTTTCAGGCCATCTTCGTGACCAACCAATATGGTTATGGAGATGTCCTGTCCTCTATTCTTAGGCACAAGAGCGTTCAGGCAATCCGTTGTGTTTGTCCCACCGACAGTCCGTTCCCATAACCACTGCTCGCTGTTCTGGACTGCTCCAGATAGCCTTCGACCTAGGATCGGCAGTTTATCAGTCGGCGTCTCGGAGCATCGATAGTCGATTTCTGTGCTGTATTAGTAATGATTGTTGCTTGTGTTCTATGCATATGATAGCTTTGTTCTTACGTCTGTCATGTCGTATTGACAATACGTTATGGGGGAATCGAGCTATGGCCTCGTCCGTAGCTGCCTCGATTAACAGTGGCTGGCGCTCCGAAACGCTGGATAAACTAACCTTGGATCTGTGATTCTGTGCACATTTTCTTGTTCGAGGAAGATTCTTCTGAGGGGTCTGCTTCAGCGAGGGTTCGTTTGGTCCGGGTGGGAAAAGTTTCAAGGTCCTCGCTGGTTTTGTCCGCAGCTTTCAGTTTCAACACCTCGGATATGAAAGTCTTGAATGGATTGCACGTATTTAACGGCTCCTCCCCCCCGAGAGATTCCAAAGAACGGCGCATCTCAGGTAGTAAGACATCCAATCGGTCCGCTTTCAGCGTATGAATAAGCGAATCGAACGTATTATCTGTCATTGTTCTGGTCTTCCAACTGGAAGGTGGAAGCGCTGCTGCCCACATTAGAATTACATGAGGGTGCTGACTCCTTAGTGCATCGCATCTCATCTGAGTATGTTCCTTGTTTGCCTTCACCTGCTTAGAATCCAGACTGGAGATTTTGGGACCGGTGAAAATGAGTATGAGATTTCTTGAGAGCATCGTTGATGACGGTAGATGCGAAATACTTTTGATTGACCGGATCTGATCCGCAAAACGAGTAGTTTCGGTGTGGGGTTGTAACAGGCTTGTGACCTGGGCGTCAATATTTTCCACGGCTGATGTTAGCCTGGCTTTGAGTTCGCGGAACTGATCCAGTTGAGCGTTTGTCGGTCGAATATTTCTCGCAGAAAGTTTGCTTCCCATAGACTCTGCTCGGGCCACTAGAATCTCAAATTGGGATAAAACTAGGCCGGCGGTCATGATGTTGCAAGTCGAACAAATGTAAAGAAATCGGAGAGTTCTAGGAGTGAGACAAGTCCACATTTATGTGATAATTTAGGGACACGTCATTGTGTGGTGCCCCTGACGCCTTTCCGAAATAAGCAAAGTATACAGCCGGATTTAAAAAAGTGGGAGGTTCTCCCCTGTCGGATCTGAATCGAATAAGTCTTAGTTCTTGGGGGTTTATTACACACGTGCATACTCGGCCCAGGGTAAGTTGTTCGAACAGCGAATCATATCCACTGCCACCTAAGGAACGGTAGTCCTAAAGTACGAGAGGATGTGATCGCTTGCATACAAAGACTAAGGAACCAAGCGATACTGGTTCCATCTGTAATTGATAAATACATCTGAACTTTGGGTGAATGCAAGCCGAAAGCGCGCAATCCAGCAGGCTCCAGTCCTCGACCGCGCATGTTGCGGCACAGTAGATCGTGCAGGTTGAAGCCATGGCCACACATCCGGCATTGTGTTAGTCGAATTGGAGGCAAGACGGTGAAGTTATCAAGTATCCGTCGTATGTCACTTTGGACATAAAAGGCCGCATGTTTTCTCTTGAGTTCGTCATTTTTATCATTGTCATTGCTGTTTCATCGTACCAATCTGTTCAAATTCCAATTTATCTATCGTCCATCAACTAAGCAATATGGTCTACACTCGTAAAGACATTGACGCTTCCACTTCGGTCCCCCAGGTCGTTGAGCAAGGCCCTCGAAGAAAACCTTTGCCAAACATCGTGTTCGACAACCTGCAGCCAGTGGTAGCCCATTTGGTGGAAAGAGCCGTGACGCCTCCTGACAGCCCCCGTCAGGCATTGCCGAGTACGGCCCAGGATGACCTGAAGCAACTCTTTGTCGATGCTATCCAACAGGTGTTGTCGGAGATGCCCGATGAGCCTACCTCTGAAAAGTCCCAGCCTACCACTGTTAGCCTATTGACGGACCTTCTGAAGGTCTTTCAAGCCACGCCGTCTTCCGACGCTACTGCCGGACTCTCGAAGTTAGCGTCTGTTGGCGTAGAGAAGGACAATCATCGTCAATTGCCTCTCGATAGTCAGGGCGGGACACCCCCTAACAGCCCATGCATCACCCCGTTGGAGACTGCCGCAATGGGGCAACTGAAAGAGTCCACTGACCTCCTTGTTCCTTCTACCGATGACTCGAGTGCATACTCGATCTGCGCAGAGGAGCCACGAGACACTGCGGGGAACTGCAAGGTCTCTGGAAATCAGAAATTGTCAGTCACTGACAACGACGTTGATGTTGCGAGTCTGCCAAATCTTGAACTAGTGAATGGTTGCCGATCGACGCCGAACGCGGTTGAGACCGCTGCGACAGGTCGACAACGGTTGGTAGCAGGCGCTCGGGCTTCGAATGTGGAGGCGAGAAAAACTCGTGGACTGTAAGTTCATCGCCATCTATTTTCTTGACACATCGCTAATCTCTTTTTCAGCTGTGGCATAAAGAAAGACCAACATAAGTTAGCCTCAACTCCTTTTGACCCGTCAACGCCACAACTTGATGTAGATGAGCTTGAGAGGCTATTAGCAAACGCTGCCGACAAAAGAAGCCAGGCCGACTCTTCGGACTTTGAAGATGCTCTTACTTTCTCTGAGGCTCGTGAGATCGGATCCGAAGATATTGGGGTCGAAAGCCAGGGTAGTGCCCATCTGGAGAGCTCACACTTATCTTCGGAGCCTGTCACAATGAGCCAGTTGAAGGACCTTTTCCAAGCTGTGCTTGAATGCAAACCTCAGACGGCTTCCGATGGCGCGGGAAATGGTCCCGCTGGACCTGAGAAGAAGGCAGAGAACAATCAGGATAGCGAGGACAAAAGGATTCTGGCCTCCAGGATGGAGTACAAGACCGTCAACGAAGCGTATGTCCAGCACTGTCCATATTCCACATCTGCTAATTATGAGCGCAGCTGGGACTGCAAGACGTACGAGTACAAGATCGTCGATTCCCCTCCCCCGCAGGATGTAAGTGAATTAGACGAATTCGTATTCGTCGTCCGCAAGCGTATCCGTAAGTACGGCCGATCGTTCAGCTCTTTGACTGTCTGACATGTGTCCAGAAAAACAAACGCACGATGTCATCATCTACGTGGATATTAAGTCACCAGGCCTGCGAGACATCTTGAGATGCATCTTGAAAGATATTAGAACGGCGGGACTCGAAGCCGACAAACCTGCGGTACGGTTATTCGTACCTTGCTTTGTATAGGCTTTCTCATTGATAGTAACATAGGTCGAGCGGAATCTATTGTTCCATTTCCTTCCAGAGTTAAAGAGTTTTGGCGCCGACTCCAACGAAGATACCTCGGAAGAGGATGGCATGCGCCATCTGAGTCTACTAATCAAGCACCTAGAGGAAGCATACGAGTCAACTACCGGCCAAATCAACTCACTTCTGATTCACAGGAAGATAACATACGACTTGTTATGGGCGTTCTTCAAACCGGGCACATTGCTGTACATGACCTGTCCTTCTACAGGCCTGCCCCGGTGCGTTCGTTACAGTTGCGGTAAGGAGACGAAGACTTTTCGGAACGGTGACTGTTTTGAGATCCAGGGTGAGTATTTTGATTACGATGGGGAAGTATTCGGCGAATCTACCGAGACTTTGCAAATTGAAATGTTCTCCGCGGCCCGCAGTATTGAAAACCTCCCAGTGTATCCATTGGAATTCCACCCTAACCCTGAGATCTGGTCGCGCCTGGTATCAGCCGGTCGAAAGTTCGTGTCGCTCATTGGCTGTTACCATCGGCAATATGAAGGAAATATGTTTGTCCCACATAAGGATCAGCTAGTGAAAGTCCACGTCAGTAGCAGGATCATGATCGACGCCCAGCAGTTCCGGAAGTGGAATCCCAACTATGCCAGACTGGCGATGAAAAAGCCCTATACCGATATGTTCGGCCAAATTCTGGATCACGAAATTGTTGATCGTGTTCGCAGTAACGGTATGGACCCCAGCGACTTAACAGAGGAAGATCTAGCTATCTGCAGTCCAACGGTTCTCGGGTTCTCCCTCAACGAGAAGGTTTGGGGTAAGTCAGCCCTTGATGACGACCGAAGTTGATTGGCTAACGGAACTAGGAGAATTTGCCATTAATAATGTGGCAGAGATCCAATTCTCAGATACACCTTTCGACATGTTAGCTATCCCTGAGGACAAAAAAAGGGTCATCAAATCTCTTACTGAAAGTCGGGTCCGCGCGGCGACCGAAGGAAAATTCGATGATATCATTGAAGGAAAGGGGCAAGGTGTCATTATACTCCTGCAGTATGTATCCGAACCTCTCGTAATGGCTCAACTGCTAACTATTATGGGAAGCGGTCCCCCAGGTGTCGGGAAGACTTTGACAGCAGAAGCAATCTCAGAACGGCTTCAGCGACCACTCTACTCGGTATTTGAGCCTTACGTCCTTTCAGCTGCATGCAAGCTGACAGATGCAGATCTCTGCTGGAGATCTCAGTGCTCGAGCTGAGGAGCTTGAAGTCCAGCTAACGCGTACCTTCCGCATTGCAAGCAACTGGAAGGCTGTGCTCCTCCTGGATGAAGCGGATGTATATTTGCAGCGACGGGATGGCATGCAGTTAGAACGCAACCGTCTCGTTGCCACGTTCTTGCGCACACTTGAGTATTATCCCGGTATCTTTTTCCTCACGACCAATATGCTCCAGGACTTCGATGCAGCCATCCTTGACCGAATCCAGTTAAAGTTGCAGTATCATGATCTGGACTTCTCGGCGCGACAAGCCATCTTCAGACACTTTGTTGCCAAGACAAGAGCAGAAATTTCAGAAGAGGACATACGGAACTTCGCAGAGATCAGCCTGAATGGTCGGCAGGTAAAGATTTTGCTCCGTCATCCAAGATGTAGACGTATACTGACAAAATATCTAAAGATTAAGAATGTCATCAAGCTTGCACACAATGTCGCCATGTCTGATAGGATTCGAATGCTTGCGGATCACGTTCGATCGGCTCTCACAGCAAATGGATATACTATACCCGTACCTGGCTTCTCGATTGACAACAGTCTCTATGATGAGTAGGCAAAGCATGAGGGATAATCTTGCCCACTACTTTCATTTTGCCTCCTGTTGATAACAGTCCTTCACCATTAAATATGTCTTTCTGTTCGAAAATTTTTGCCCCTTAATGGCAGCGTCAATGAGTAATTGAAATTATTTTCCAACAGAAATAAAAAAAAAAAACCACCCCGGCGGAAGTCTAATTCAATTCAACCTCAAGGATCTAGCGTAAGCTATTAAGTTGCATGTAAAACGTCAGGAAACCGAGTCATTTTCATGTTCGTCCAGTGTTGGTATCTTCACCCCATAAAGAGAGTTCAAAGAGGACGTAGGAGGGAGAGCAGTTCGTTCGAATCGAATTTTTTCTCTTTAATCTCACTTGGGATTATTGATTCCAGTCGTAGCATACTGGACTGACGTAAACGTGAGAGATCTCTTATCTTTGTGTCTAGGTCTTGGACACACTTTTGTAGGAAGTCACCTCGCTTTTCACCTAGCACTTCTAGGAAATTGTCAAAATGGTGGGTCGATACTCTTTGAAATCTAATAAAGGTCAGCTTCGTACTGTTACTAAGAGGACGTTTACATGCGCAGAGTTAGAAATCTCGAATTCCCCTTTGGACGGGACTAAGTAGACAATAGCATGACCAAACTTTTGAGCAATCCTGTGCCAGTTCCTGCCCTCGTACAATCTGCGTCGAAGGATATCGTATTGCCGCGTGAACTCCGAGCTGCCTCTTTCTAACAGCGGGAATCTCTCAGCTATTATATTAGATATAGTCTCGGGATCCGTGAAGGCTCGATTACTGTCTCGCTGATACTCCCGCCTTTTCCTAGTATATAGCTCAACAAGCTCCACTAGATAAAGCCTAGATCGAATACGAGCAATTAACCCAGAGTCATCTGATCTGTCAAGGGCATCCATAACACCATTAATGGAGTCAACTTCCGGGAAAGGGAGAGCATTTTCATTTCGTCGCATTGCAGTTAAAAGTTCTCCAAGTTGAGCCATAGCGAACGGACTGGCTATGGCAAAGAAGAGGCGGGTAGTCACGAGCTTGTCAGTACGACATCCAGACGCACACGCTGCGAAAATTTTTTGTATACGATAGACACTGTACTTGCATCCCATGATCTTGGGCCATTTTGTCCAGTCAGGCTTTTGCCTTGGCCTTCTCGCCGTTCTCGGTCGCGACCTCGCCCTTTCCGATCGAACCCACGGAAGTTGTAGGAAGGGTAGTCTTGGCGGGTGACGTAGAGCAGCTGATCCTTCTTCACTTGGTACGAGATGCGATTGTGCAGTCTGAAAAGACGAACTAGAACCCACTGAACTATCTGGAGGACTGGTGGTCTCTGTAGAGTTTCCCAACCGTCCGATGTCCAATTTGAAAAGATTGAACTCCTGTCCCAGTTAGCGTAAGTAGATGAAGTCAATAATTGAGCTCTGTTGCCTACCACATTCATTTGTCTTGTTAGATTTTCTATCCGATCAAATCTGTTCAATAGATTTAATCTCAGGTCCTGGTCGCGTATGGCACGCTGTAGATCGCGGTCGGCCTGAGTCGCACTGTGCATAGTGAGATCCCATATTACGAACTCTCTGGTAGGAGCCGTGAATGAAATTTTTGCGGTACGAGTTGATTCGCATGGAGGAAAATATAGCAATGTCTAGGGAGGCAAGAGGCTGGCATGTCAGCGGTCCCTGCAGTGAGGCCACTGCGCTGCGGGACTAGTGTGGAACACAATGGAGAACTCCTGGAAAAAGGGAGCTAGAGTGGTCACGAGTTGCCCTGCAACAACCAACTTCCCGCAGCGGCGGGCCCACTTCCTCAGGGATTGGATCTCTTGGTAACGATGTGCTAATGCCGCAGAGCACAGGTCCGAGTGATCATTGGATGGAGAAACGAATCTGACATGGCTGCGGAAGCCAAAGAAAGCTTATCGCCGCAGTGCTACCTCACTGCACTGTTGGACGGAATTCTAGAGCCAAAATAAAGACACAGTGGCCTGCCAATCGTTTCCGCAGCCCACAACTGGTTTAAACGGTTCGCTTGGGAACCCAGTATGATGCTTAGGAAGCGCGGCCAAAAAACATAGATCTCTCGCTTGCACGAGCGCCTATTAGTTGTTGGGAAAGAACCGGAACTTCGATAGCAAGGGATGCTACAAAGACGGTTAACGCAAACCTATCATTCTACCGGTCCATGAAGGGCTTACGACTGGCAGCCAAGAACCGTACTTGCGGAAATCAATCGCCTACTGATGCTGAAGCAGTGGTGCCACCACCGCCCGAGCCCAATTCTAAGCGTAGGAGTGCAGTCCCTTCCAACGAACGCCCAGCTAACAGAACCAGGGCTGCATCTTCCGCCCAGTGTAAGATCATCCGGGGCGATCCACGAGCTTTGGCTCTTCCCGAGATTAGCAAGCCGGGAGACAGTGTCCATTCAAATCTGGCTCTATGGCTGGAGCCTCTCTGAGATGTATTCGGGAAACACTACGAGTGCAGCTCGAGGTTAGAAACATTGACCAGTCGTGTCTCCAATGGACGCGTTCATGTTTCCATTTCTTAATCCTCACACTGCTGTAATGTGAACAGAATAGGCCACAGCCAATGAAAACCTATTCAATTGCGAACCGTACCAAGAAAACTCACTGAGCTAAGAAATGCAAGCACAGGGGATTGACCAACACAACCAAAAAAGACTATTGGAGAAATGTCAGTCTGTATGCGGTAATGAGAGACGGTAAGCAAGCGCTCTTTCCTTGGCGTGTTCTTTAGTATTCTGTACCACCCAATGATACGCAATCTGCTGGCTCCCAAAGGCATCTTGGTCCTGTTCATGGGCCGCGTCTAGTGCATCTTGCCTCAGGAGGCCTATGTTAGCATCCATCAGCTTTTGACGAAGGCTGGCTGGAAGCTCTCCACGCAAGAGAGACTTTGCAACTGGCTCTAGCAAATGACAGAGGTCGATAGTGCCTGGGCGAGTATGCAGGGCGAAGGTAATGAACGCGTCAATTTGATAATCGGAAAATTTGTCACTACGCCTATGCGCCTGAGTTAGTCATGCCCGGAGTGAGCTGCTCGTGCCACAAACATAACAGACCAACACCACTTAACATCCGCTCTCTGGCACTGGCTCTGCCAGTTCTTCCACCATCTCTTTCTCGTTGCTCTTGTTCTTATCTTTGTTTTTCTTTTTCTTACCTTTCGTCTTTTTCCATTTGATCTCTTTGTAAGGAGCACCGAATCCGACCGACTCCTCTTCTTCGTTCTTTGAGTACCACAAGTTTGTATCTTTCCCCATATTCCGATTACCTGTATCACGAGAAACGAGCCCCAGATGGCTACTTGAAGTCCAGTTCTCGCCCCATTCAAAGTTGAGCGTTGAGCCTGAAGGCTCTGCAGGAACCTCGAGGTTGACAGCCTCTTGCGCACCATCCTCTTCCACATTTCCCTCTTCCGCAGCACCATCCTCCACAGCGCCGTACTCTTCCACAGAACCCTTTTCCGCAGCACCATCCTCCGCAGCGCCATACTCTTCCACAGCACCCTCTTCCGCAGCACCATCCTCCGCAGCACAATCCTCCGCAGCACAATCCTCCGCAGCATCCTCCTCAGGGGTAGTCTCAGTGACCTGTCTAGACAGTATCTCAGAGTAGATGTCCACAACCATTCTCATCACGGCTTTGTCAAAAACAGGGTCTTTTCCAACACCGTGATAGAACTCTTCGCGCTGAAAGATGTTTTTGTCCAGTGAGAAAGCAATTCGAAGTTGTTTGTTGATGTAGCTGGCAAGCCAAGTCTCATCTTGGGGGAGTTTGGAATATATCTCTCTTGCAGCCTCCATTCTATCGAAAGTGGACATCGACTCGCCGAACATCTCGATGTATTTCTTCGCGTACGTCTCCAGATTGTATAAATCATATTTTCTGGCCGCTTGGTAGACAAGCATGCTCCTTCTGTATTCTATTGCCATCTTGGACACACCTGGCTCGGATGCAGTCCGGAGCGTTTCATAATTACCGGTACACAAGAAGTGCACGACGGTGTGACCAACCTCGTCATCCACCTCAGAAAGGATATAATGTGGTTCCCATGGAAGGGAACTGCTGAACTGTGGATAATTTTGGATGTAGCATACTGGAATCCTGTATGTTCTGCTTCCTACACGAATAGTGATGATTTGAGACTCATAAGGACTATATTTGGGCTGTCAGTCTCTCTGAATGAATTGTAGCTGCGAACCGCCAGGAGACATACGACGATTCAGGCTGATTATATTCAATCAGCGAGTCTCCGGGAAATTGCTCTGATCCGCTTGTGTAAGATTGCTTCAGGTGCGGATTTGGCTCGCCGTTAACAGACTTCTTGGAGTAAGGTTTCTTCTTGTTCGCCATCTTTTGGTGATTCTCGACCCCAGTAGAGACGCAGTTCCGATATATATGCCAGAGATACAAAAATCATGGGGATCATAGTTGTACCTTGGTTCGTCCCATGGAAGGAGGGCGACTATGCAGGTGTGAGTTGTCCAAGGTTTTGCATGCACCATGCCAGACCAGCCTGACCTCATGTGGTGAGACACGTCAGCAGCACTAGTTATCAATATGTTCATGTACAATGGCACTTTTTTGCATTTTCTCCTAATTCTCGCATAAGAATTTGGGTCTCGGGAGATCGGTTGGTAGCCGTCGCGCCGCAATTCTGCCTTGTCAAATCCGCCTTGAAGCAATGGTCAAATCGACGGTCGAGGCAAGCTCAATCCGATCAGCCGCTGATTTCCTGGACCTCCAGAAACTGGCGTTCGAGAAGGTGACATCGCATCTCCCGGACTTGGAGGGGTTGAACCGGATAGCCTCAAGGCCTCGACACACAGCTCGCTGTGATTGCTACTGAAGCTACGAAGATGTACGACTAAGCCTACTCCGTACGTAAAGACGGTGAGTATCCGCCCTAGTGGGCAATTTGTATTGGGATCACGTGCTCGCCTGCTTTCACCCCAGCCAGACAGCCGCATTAAGAGCTGGGCAGCATCCTCTCTCTGCTCCAATGTCGGAGTCGGATAATACATCGCGTAGTGTCGACGATCATACTGTAGGGTGAGGCCAAAGTACAGCCCGCTATCATCCTCTTGGACAACTTCCAAAGTTCCAGCATCTTAGTCATTCGGTTTTGTCGTCTTGGCACTGGGCTTTTCTTTTTATGGTCGGGGAAAGGACAGGGAGAGAGTTTCTAGCAGTCTATTCATCACAGAGTACCTATCGTAACTGGGATCTGGTAAATTACCCAATCGATCTTTTAGGCAGGGAGTTGTATTTTTGACAGGGATGAGAGGGAGTCGTATTTTGGGCAGGGATGAGAAAGAGTCGTATTTTTGGCAGGGATGAGATATTATTGCCACTGTATTTTCCCCTAAACCTGTAACTTACCGACCTTTTACAAGATATTTTACGGGTATAATTCGGAAGGAGGGAGAACAGCTTCATAAATACACCCAGCGTTTCATGGTTCCCAGAGAGCATCTTTCTGATCCTCCTCCATTATTACCCGCTAAAAGGTGAAGTGACTTATCTGTGTAATACCATTTCTGATGGCTCACTGTCAGACCAAAAGCGCAAACCACCAACATCATTGATCCTCGGAGACTGGAGTAAAAGGGGAGGGATCGTGTGGGCAACAATTCTCTACTACTCGACGTGGCGTTAATTACAGAGCTAAGCTCGGTCGATGAATCGGAAGTTAAATTATTTCTCATGTCTATCCATCATCAGATGCAGTTTTGACTGAGTACTGGCTGCGCTGCTGAGATTTTGTTTCTGTTGCAAAGGATGTTTCGGAGGTGTCTGCCTGCCCATTAGTCTGCGCTGTTGACTCGCTTGCAGCTCCTGCTCTGTCGGCCAATAACAAGCTCAGATGCTGTATTGATCAATTAAAGCATCAACGGCTCCCCATTGCGATGATTAGGCTCCAATCAAAATTATTACAAGGAGTTGGGTTAATTGGACCTGGACTTCCCCTTTCAGGAAGCTTTTTCTCATTCCTGGCGGTTTGTAACCAGGAAATAGCCCGTACGAAGTGAGTTAGTCGGTATCCTCCTAAAGGCTCGTCTTGACAACAAGTAGCATTGTGTGGCAGCAGCACAATGAACAATTATCCAAGGATTGCCTTGCATCGGAGAGTCCACCAACTCAGGCAGAAGACATAATGATCAACAGAGGAGCGTCTCAGTATCGCCAGCAATGACTGATAGGGAACGACTGAGGCACTAATCTCTACCAGGAAATCATTGATCACTAGCTGGACCCCGCAACCCGTCGTTAGTGGTGGACATTTCCTCAGCGGTGGATCAAGTAATTGTCCAATCAAAGCCGCTGTGTTCGAGGATTGCTGCAGTGATAAGCTTCGATGTGGGTAGGTACAAACGGGCCGCTGAGATGGCACTACATACAGGGGGACTTTTGGCTTATTAACACCACCCCTGAGGACACAGCATCTTTACTGGGCTGGAGAGGTCTGTACGTCGACATCGCTGCGTCGGCCAACGGTGAATTACTTTTTAGGTGATGAGCCAGGCACTTGCGAGAACATTCCATGGACAAGATTGACGCATCTTAGTATCTAGTGTAAATTATGTGGCGTATCGTCGAGACCAACCACGCCTTATTGGGCGCGCCCGCAATACTTTCGTCTTAATTTCACTTTCCTGGCACGACTTATTGGGCGCGCTCGAAATATTTTCGTCTTAATTTTATTTTTCTGGCATCATCTCCTATGGCTTTGACGGCTATTAGGATTCACGCTGTCATTTTCCCAGAAGCATCAAGTTATGTAGTTGAGATTTCGGACTACGCGACTTCTGTAGTTATGACAGTATACGTTTCAGCCACTTATTCTCTCAGAGCTCAGCCTGCAGACGACATTACATCACGCACGCTGGACGAGCAAGGACTCTAGTATCCAGTTTCCCAAATTTAGCTTAGCGTGTGTGGTTTCCATTGAGCCCCAGACACCGATGACAATGACAGACGTGTAGCATGCGATGCGTATGAACTAAGCTATAGGCTAGCCTATGGTACAGTGAGGGTCGAAACCTCATTCCGCCTCCCTCAAGCCAAGCTTACCTCCAAAACCCTAAAGCCAAGGCGCTAATATGCAAGGCTATGTATATATAGATCTATGACGTCATAGTAGGTAATATATATCTTATCAGATCCGTATCTGTAATATGCTATATTTAGAAGACCGTATCGAAGGATACCGGTCGGCGGAACTTTCTAGAAGGTTCGATCTCGGTCGCATGCCCTGTCTGATCTGGGAAGCTGTCAACAGCGACAGCGACTCTTCTGCATTCCTCTCCTGCATCTTGCAGTTTGGCTGCAGGAGTAAGCAGGCTCCGGGGATCATCGACGGCCAAGGTCTGACAGGCAAGACTCTATTGGTACTGTACTGCTGTTCACTGCACAAACCTTGCTCCGCTTATTATCATGGGCACCCCCGTGTTATTGAACGGCCCGTTGGGCATGAGACGGTGTGGGCTAACCGCTTACAGCATGTTGCTAGGTGTATTGGAACCATCCATTCCTTCTTGTAAGGATGACCAATAGCCTTTTCAGCTATGATGACGAAGCCTGTCAGTCCCGGCTGATCGACCCATGGGACCAAGATTCGCAGTATGCGCCAACACCGGGTGACTTCGGCCGTACCCCCGCTACACTGTATTCCCTAAGCCCTACCCCGGATCCTATCTCCTGCCAAACGCAGCCTGATTACCTTGGGTTTCTCCCATTTGCTGAATGGGAGAAATGGACGGAGGATAATTGCTACGAGGGACCGGAAGAGCCTGAATTCATTCGTTACACGATCGCATGGAAGCTCATGATCAACCGCACAATTGAGGCCCGGGAGACCGAGCAGGACTTGGTTGTAGCCCCCAGTGAATATTGGGAGAAACACCTGAAACAGAAAATCGACGAGTTGGTGCAGATGAAGAAACGTGACCGGCGTGTCCGGTCGGAAGACACGGCAATCGTGGTATCAGTAAAGCACTGTAATCAGGGCCCGCTTGAGAAGCTTTTCAAGTCCACTAACATTGATTGGAAACCAGTGGAGAGGCAGCTTCGTAAGTGGAGCAATTTGGTCCGCCTGGGCAGGACACCTCAGGTTGCTATCACATTCAAGTATATACGAGATGATACACCGCCTCGAGGCGACAGGAAAGGTGCCACCAGGAGAATGCTTGCTGAACGAGAAGCAGAGATTGTCGCTGAGGAATGCTCTGGACAGCCTTCGAGCTGGAGATACGTATACAAACTTATGCGATGCTCAGTGCCTTCATGCAGTGACTTTGGCCAGTGGTGTTGGCAGGATCCTAAGGGTAGGAAACACTACAGACTACGAAAACCCCACCTCGTGAAACTCACTGCCCACGTGGATAATGGTGGCAAATTGGACAGCCACGATGATGTCCCAGAGGATATTCGACAAGCTTTATACCTGGAGGCTCAGCAAAAGCTCGAGAGAGCCTCAAATAAAACGAATAATCAGCTTGCACTCAATGCTCCCTATCCAATCAACATCAACCTCTTGCCCGCGCAGGGCACTGGCACGCATGAATCTGTCATAGCTACGTCACCCCCCAGACCTGCACCTTCGAGTAAGAGAGTTAAAATCACCGGGCCGAGGGATGCCGCCGTCAAGGAATACTGCGAATGGCATGAAATGCAGGTGACTGATGAAGCGCGCAAGGCGGACTGGCGTAAGGCACGTGACATAACTCTGTCAAATGGCCTTGACCTCGAGTTAGTTGAAGAGGATCAAGAACATGTGCAGTTTCTCATCGATCAAGGGGTCACGAAGGGGACTGCTCGGCGATTTGTTCGCGACATCTATGAGTGGGCTAACCATGTGAAAAAAGATCCGTCGTCAGAGGGAAGCATACAGGACTCTCCAGAGGACATTGCCGCTTGAACACTGGCACTGTAGAATACACTGATTTTTTGATTGATCAAACTGCTAATCTTCATTGCATATGTGTTGAACTTTTTCTGGCTGTGGAAAGAGAGCGCTGCTTATATAGCTTGTTCATTCTATAACTAGTTATAGTTTCATTTCCGAATTTCTTTTCCTCGTTAGGCAGTGAATGGCTTGGCTAGCTTACAATACCACATTTGATTCAAACGAATAAAATTCGTCCACTGTACCCAGACATGCTGTGGTGGGTTCTGGGATGAATGTTGTTCCGACAATCAGCTGACTAATGGCGAGAGCTTCCTTCGCAACCACGACCACATCTCATCCTATCGCAAAACAGACGCAAAAACGTCCTTGGCTCGACTCAATGGCCAATGCACATCGCCGCCACCAGCTTTCCCTGACAACGTTTATTCATCCGCCTCGGAAA